GAAGTGGAGATAGTGGGCAGCCTTGTCTGGTTCCGGTTCTAAGTGGGAATGGTTTCAATTTTTCCCCATTCAATATGATATTGGCAGTGGGTTTGTCATAGATGGATTTGATAATTTCGGTCTTTGTGAGAGTGTTGTATTTTATACCCACTGCTATGATAACATTTTTCTTCACCACACACACCCATCTTCACCATTGAGTGTGGAAAATTTCTACTAATTCCTCAGGCCTCAGGTAAGGTGTTACTTTCTGAAGAAAGTTTTTCCTGAATTTTAAGAATAAATTAGTTTTTGACCTCTATGTCCTTCTCGTGGTATCCTGAACGTTTTCTTTATGGCACTTAATATAATTGTAACTCGCTTGGAGAGAAGACTTCAGGGTATGTGATGACTGTATTTTGAATATTTGTGGCAGAAGATGTGTTTTTTGCGACCTGTGGTTGAAAGTTGCTGTGAAGATTTTCTGACCAGATCCAGGACTCTGTTGGGTGGGTCCTGCATGGTGCTTGCTGCAGAGGAGTGCTGATTGATTATAGATCTACAAATCAATGAAGAACTTATAATAACCAGCATGGAATAGGGAAATCCTTGTTTCTGGATAAGTTTGGCAGTGGCTGAACAGAGAGTTCATATCAGACAAAATGTAAGCAAATTTTTCAGCCTATGTGGGAAGTATATTTGTACATGTATAAAAAGGTAAGTAGGGGTGTGTGTGTGTGTGTGTGTGTGTGTGTGTGTGTGTGTGTGTGTTTATGTTTGGGTGAAAGAGTTGAAAACTACATTCATAAGTCCTTCCTACCCTTCTAGTTCAGTCTTCTATTGTTATAATTGCAGTGGTCCTGACAATGTTCAGCTCAAAACACACCCGATATAGGCAGATGGTTTTCTCCTCCCCTCTGCTCCCTTCCTCTCCCATCTAAAAGAACACACCCTGAAAACCTGTTTAGTTTCCCAGTGTTGTTGCTGCAGTGTATTGAGAACTGTGTGTCTGAGCCAGAAACAAAAAGTCCCAATGGATAAGAAGTTGTTTTTGAGAACTGTTGAGTTGACAGATTGTGAATGTCGTTACTGACAAAATATTTTCATGAACCTTAAAGTCTGAACACAAATCCACCAACCTAGGTTTCTATCTCCTCCTGAATCATCCAAATCTTTGCATATAATATTTCTAGTTGCTTCCTAATCTTTTCAAAGTAAAGAATGGCTAAATCTAGTATGGGTCCAAACTCCAGGCTTTTCAAGTTTAATTCTCCTGCTACTTGCTCTAGGCTCTGGTTACTACCATTATTTCAACCTTCTTTTGGACTTCAGTGATTTATACAGCTATACTCATTCATTAGGTATTTTTTAGCTATTTTATATACCATGTTCTGTGCCTCGTATTTATATATTTACCAAATATATCTGTTCACCTAATCCCGACATTAGTTCATATCTTGTGCTAGGATTGTCTATATATGTCTGTCTACCCAGCAGCTTTTAAGGGCCAGGAAACTCCACACCAACACAAGGTTTCTTTTCATTTCTTAGCTCATCCAAGGTGCACTACAACTTAGGATCTTAGCTGATCCAAGGATCCAAGGATCTTAGCTGATCCAAGGTGCACTAGAACTTACAGCCACAATTTTCTATCTGCATAGCACTACCCTAGGATAGCAACTGTAACATTCTTTATAGTGGAAATTTCCTGATGATGGTCATTTGTCAGTTTTCAGAAATAAGACACATAAATCTGTAGAGTTTGTTTTGTTCTTCTCTTTCCTCAGTGCCCAGTGATCCTTCTCCAAAATGATGTCATCTCACTAGTTTGTTTCTGATTTTTGAGGTGGTACTGATCCCATGGGATGACATTTCAACATGAAGAATTCCAATAGCTCTTTGGGGTTCCTACCTACGACATTCATTTTGGTTGGCATCCCAGGCCTGGAAGCAGAACACCTCTGGATATCTGTCCCCTTTTGCCTGATGTACATGATCATCTTCCTTGGAAATGGCATCATTCTCCATGTCATCAGAACAGAGGCTGCCCTACATCAGCCCATGTATCTCTTTCTTGCCATGTTGGCACTGGCTGAGGTTGGTGTCTCTGCATCCACCATGCCTACAGTGTTAGGCATATTCCTTTTTGACACTACTGAGATTAGTTTTGGAGCATGTTTTCTCCAGATGTTTTCTATCCATTCTTTCTCCATTATGGAGTCAGCTGTGCTGCTGGCCATGTCTGTGGACCGCTTTGTGGCCATCTACAGTCCACTGCGCTATACAGCCATCCTGACACTGCCCCGCATCTTCAATGCAGGAGCTATCATTGGGCTGAAGAGCATTATACTCATGGCCCCATTGCCCATTCTCTTACAACACCTGCCCTTCTGTGGCCATAATGCCCTCTCCCATTCCTATTGTCTCCACCCCGACCTTATCCATCTACCTTGTGGGGATATTTCTATTAACAATATCTATGGGTTTTTCATTGTTATCTCCACTTTTGGGCTGGACTCGTTGCTGATTGTGGTCTCCTATGGGCTCATACTCCACACTGTACTGGGTATCGCCACTGGAGAAGGGCGGAAGAAGGCACTCAACACATGTGGCTCACATGTCTGTGCTGTGCTTGCTTATTATGTACCTATGATTGGCTTGTCTATAGTACACCGCTTTGGATACCACGTGTCCCCTCTGCTTCAAGTCGTGATGGCCAATGCTTACCTCTTTTTTCCACCTGTTGTCAACCCTATTGTCTATAGCATTAAGACTAAGGAGATCCGTCGTGGCATTGTCCGAATGCTATCATAGTAAGACCCAGAGTTCAGCCAAAAGCCAAAGTAGGAAGGGAGGTTTTTGTTTGTTTGTTTTCTATAATCCCAGGTGGTCCTAGCTTTGCAGTTAATGTTATCTTAAAGCATGGTGTCTAAGATGAAGTTCTACATAGTCTGGCTGTGAACTGAAGTGGGGTGCAAGTAGGAGTGGATTATGTTTGACAGAGCAATATGCAGAAATGATGTCATTTTAAAACTTGTGTAATATGAGCTTTTTTTCTAATACCTACATACCAGTACAGGCTCTGATGTGGCATGCACCCACTTCACCAATGCCCAGAGTTGGAAATCCCAAAGATTACAAATTTTGTTCATTATATAATATTCTGAAGTTCTCCCAGCTAGGATACAGAAACTTTTAAAGAGGCAAGCATCATTTTTGTAGATATTAATATTTACTAACTGATAGGATATTCCTTTGCAGACATTTGAAAAAATGTAAAGAGTTTATACTTGTATTATCAAAGAAAAAATTAAGATTAACATGAAAATATATATAGCACTTTATATTTACTATTTCACTCACTCCTCACAATCTTATGAGGTAGGATTAATATAATTATGATTTATCAGATGAAAAACTGATGCTTACATATAATAAGCATCTCACTCAAGCCTACACATCCAAGAGCTAGCATTGGAACCCAGTTGGGTCAGACTCCAGAGTCTGAGCTATTAACCCCTAAAAAACTGTCAGCTGAGCAAAAACTGAAGCTCTTTGATCTTATTAATAGTAAGTCAAGTAGAATTTACTGAGCTGACTCAATGGGTCAGGCATAATTCTAGGCCTTAGAGATAAAGCAGTGACAAAAGAGACAAGCTCCGGTCTACTTATGGAGCTTAAAAAGAACTCCCCCCCCCACCCTCTGACATATTCTCCATCTCTGCTGTACTTTGTACTTCCTGGAGTGATGTTTAGAACTAATTTTAAATAGACTTTATAACACCTCATATACAAATAACCACACATAAATAAAGCTTTTGAATGTAAATTTTAAACATTTTAAATGGTTTGCTTATATTTTGCATTGTAAAGATGTCAATAACTGATAAAGACTTCTTGTACAAGTTAATTCTGTGCCTCTACCTCCAGGTTACCATATATTTTGTTTCCATCGACTCTGACCTGGGGATCTGCAGTTGCCTATAACCACACCCTAGATTCATAGCCTACTGATGGACGACATAACTCTGCAAAGGACAGTGACTTAGAATTATCCAGGGTAAAAAAGCCGGTAACCCCACAGAAGGACTATCCCATAGGTGGCCAGAGAAATGAGAATGGTTATTCCCTAGGATAAGAAGAAAAGAGGGAGTATCTTTAGACCCTCTGGAGAAAGATATCCCACAGTTAGAAAGGTACAGGAAGAGATGATGGGAGGGATCTAAATTTTTTAAAAATAAATTTTAGAGTGTTCCTACCTCTCCGCATCCACGCCAACATTTATTGTTTTGGATCTCTTTGATAAAGGCCAGTCTCACTGGAGATAGGTGATATCTCATTGTGGTTTTGATTTGCATTTCCCTGATGATTAGAGATGTTGAACATTTTTTCATATGTTTTTTGGCCATTATTCTGTCTTCTTTTGCAAAGTTTCTGTTCATATCCTTTGCCCACTTTTTGATAGGGCTGTTTGATTTTTTTCTTGCTGATTTTTCTGAGTTCTAAATAGATTCTGGTTATCAGCCCTCTGTCGGATTTGTAGCATGCAAAAATTTTCTCCCATTCTGTGGGTTGCCTGTTTGCTCTTGTGACAGTTTCTTTGGCCGTGCAGAAGCTTTTTAATTTGATCAGGTCCCATTTATTTATTTTAGTTGTTGCTGAACACTCATACACTGCTGGTGGGACTGCAAACTAGTGCAACCTCTGTGGAAAGCAATATGGAGATATCTTAAAGAGATACAAGTAGAACTACCATTTGACCCAGCAATCCCATTACTGGGCATCTACCCAAAAGAGCAAAAGTGGCTCTATGAAAAAGACACCTGCACTCGAATGTTCATAGCAGCACAATTCACAATTGCAAAGATGTGGAAACAACCCAAGTGTCCATCAATACATGAGTGGATTAATAAACTGTGGTATATGTATACCATGGAGTACTATTCAGCTTTAAGAAACAATGGTGATATAGCACCTCTTATGTACTCCTGGAAAGTGCTAGAACACATTCTACTAAGCGAGGTATCCCAAGAATGGAAAAACAAGCACCACATGTACTCACCATCAAACTGGTATTAGCTGATCAACATTTAAGTGCACATATAAGAATAACATATATTGGATGTTGGGCAGGGGGAGGGGGTAGGGGGGAGGAGGGGACGGACATATGCACAAACAATGAGTGTGATGCGCACCTCCGGGGGAAATGGACACACTTGAAGCTCGGACTTGGGGGGGAGGGAGGGTAAGGGCATCATAAATAACCTAATCATCTGTACCCCCATAACATGCTGAAATAAAAATAAATAAATAAATAAATAAAAAGAAAAGGTGAGAGATGAATAAAAAATAAATAAATAAATTTTAGAGATCTCTTATTGAAACAGTTGCTTTATTTGTATTAATGGAGAAACTGGATTAAAAGAAAGACATATAGTTGTGGCTAGCATTAAAAATTTTCTTGACAAAATTGAGGAGCGAATATTGAATTTAAAACAAAGAAAAAAATTGTTTGAATACTATATCCCTGTGACAATAATGGCAGAGGCCAACTTCTGGTAGCCTAATGGTCTAAGGTCTATGCTTTCACCTCAGCAGCCTGGGTTTGATTCCCGGGCAGGGAATGAACCTGTTCTGATTTGATGTTTGTGTAACTTTATGATTCTTTTCCCTTCTAAACACAGCTTTTGCTTTCCTGTATTCTGTGGAGGCATATGAGGCTTTCAGATACTTGTGTATAAAGGTCACCTGAAAAGCTGGGACCCTAGAAAACATGGCTGGACAAAAATTGTGTGTTACACCTTGTTTATGACCAGCGAGGCTTTTCTTTCTTTGAATTGTTTTTGTGGCTTTTCTAGATCTCGTGAAAACAGTTCTCCACCTCTTAAAAGACACCTCTTGCTTCCTTGATTAAGTTACAACCTTGGTTAAGGCTTATTGGTTTCACCTAAAATGATACATTAGTTTAAAAGTTCACAAGTAAAAATGTCAGCTGTTTGTCCCAGCTAATGTTTCCTTCATTCATCTTCATTCCTTTCTACTCCTTCCTCTTAGCCAGTCATAGAGTTTTGGCCAATCAGAAGTGGCCAACAGTTCCAACTATAATTAAGTAAGGCAAATGCTGAGCTGTAACCAATACAGCTGCCTATGTGCTTCACTTCCCTTTTCCATACGTCGCTTTCTCTTTCTGTCCATAAATCCAGCATTGGAGTCTCTCTGAATCTGTTCTAGTTCAGCTGCATAATTTGTGAATCACTCTTTGCTCAATTAAACTCTATTACATTTTAATTTGTCAAAAGTAAGTTCTGAAATAGAGCTCCCCGAGACCCCCCCGGGAGTGCCGAGAGTCCAGGACAGGTACCCGCTGGACCATTTTGTACGTTGCTCTCTCACTGCCACTGAGGCTTGTGGGTAAGTCCTCTCACAGATTCCAAAGTGCCACAGATTTGTGTTTTGAGCTCTCTGAGTTTGTTTGAGCAAATTTTTGATCCTAACTGGATTCAGAAGTTACATCAGAAACTAAACTAGGTCTGGGATCAGATTGAACCTGATAATTAATTAGCTTAGATCCATTTAGAGGACTCAAATGTCTAACTGGATCAGGCAGAATCTAACAGTAAATGGCGATTCTACAGGGGGTATGAACTCCAGCTTTCAGGGATTCCCAAAGATGTCTCTGTTTTATCCCTTTGTTCCTTTTTCTTGTGTATCTGAGGAAGGAAAAATCATTGGAGATCTGAGAACCAGAGCCAAGACTGAAGGTGAAAATAGGATACTTAATTTTTGGAAAAACTGAGTACTCTACTTTCTGGCATTGCCTACCTATACATATACAAATATTAGGCCCTAGAAGCAACAAACACTTACCAAAATGACAAGATCTCACTAAAAGCAAAATTGATACCTTTAGCTCTTTGAGGTATCTCCATACTGCTATCCACAGAGGTTGTACTAATTTGCTGTCCCACCAGCAGTGTATGAGTGCTCCTATCTCTCTGTATCCACATCAACATTTGTTGTTCTGGGACTTTTTGATAAAAGCCATTCTCACTGGAGTTAAGTGATACCTCACTGTGGTTTTGATTTGCATTTCCCTGATGATTAGAGATGTTGAAAATTTTTCATGTTTGTTGACAATTATATGAAGCAACTGCACTGCAAGAAGTGGGAGAAAAGTTGCTGACCTAGGTAATTTTGGAAATGGGTGGAATTTGAAAGACTAAAAGCAAAAGGAAGGTAATATGTAAGGTACTCTAGCTGCCGAAACAGTTTCTTTTGGGGATGTGGATTAACAATTCTGCAGCTGCTATACATGTGTTGGGGCACAGAGAACAATACCACAAAGTATGGTGTTTTGGCATGCTGAAAGCTTTAAATTAAAGAAAATTGAAAGTCCTCATAAAGAAGCCTCAGAACCAAGGTCTCTCTTGAACCTACCTTCCTCTTTCCCCCTGTCTCTCTGGTCACTTTCTTCCCGAAGCACCCAGAGGGCTTTTATCTAAAGTTTTCTTATCTGATTAAGGAAGGTTCCTCCAGAAGAAATACAATTGTCTTAAAACTCCCTTTCTAGGAATCTCATCAAATAACCAGGAAAGATTAACCCCAGAAAAGAAGAGATTAAAAGTCAGTCATAACCACACCCAGAAAGACTATTCATCTATTCTTGTGCAGCTTTGAGAGATTACCTGTGAGACTCTATCTGCATAATAAGACAACCTTTGCTCATAGTGCAGTTCCACTGGTTCACCTTCCCAACACCACCCCCAGAATTCAGAGGAATTTTGTCCCAGGTCCTTGTCCTTTGGACTCATTCA